GTGGTCTGTGTTAGAGAAAGTTCAATGTGCTTCTGAGAAGAATGTGCATTTTATTGTAGTAGGGTAGAACACACTGTAGATACTTAATATGCTAATTTGATCAAAGTTGTGGTTCCATTCTGATTTTTGGGGGGGAGGGTTTAGGTCATCTATTTGTGGAAGTGCACTATTAAGGTCCCCCATTGTGATAGTTTGGGTGTTTTTTTTTTTTTAATTTTATGTCCAATAGCGTTTGTTCTATGAAGTTGGGTGCATATATATTTACAATTGTTATCTCTTCCTGTTGATTTGTCCCCTTAGCTAATGTGTAGTGATCTTCTTTGCTTCTTCTAATTAGTTTTGGCTTGAAGTCTACTGTCTGAGAGTAAGATTACTTGTTTTTGAGGTCCTAGTGTATGGAACATTGTTTTCCATCCTTCAATTTTTAGCCTATGAATTTTTTTATTAAATGATTGTCTTGAATGCAACAGACTGTTTTGTTTTTTTGATCTAGCCTAAAAATTCATCTTTTAATTATAGAGTTGAGGCCATTAACATTGAGCATTATTGTTAAACTGTACTGACATTTCTGTCATTGAGTTATTTTTCTGTTATTTATTCCTGTATTTTTCCTTTTTGTTTGGCTGTTCACTTGTTTAATGTATTCATTCCATCAGATATTTTGGGTTTATTCATTTTGTTATCTCTGTCTAGGATACCTTTGAGTAATTTTTTGAGTGCTGGTTTTGTGATGACTTGTTTTTAGTCATGGGATGTCCTCATCCTCTGTCGATTTTGAAAGATATTTTTGCAGGATTTATTAGTTTGAGTTGAAAGCTGTTTTCTTTTAGAACTTGAAACATTTCACTCAAGCTCTCCTGTCTTTTAAAGTTTGTATTGAAAAGCCTGCTGTAATCCTAGTGTTTTACCTTTATAGATAACTTTTTCTTCTCTGAAAGCTTTTAGATCCTTGTCTTGTGTTTCTGGGATGTGTTAAAGAAGGTTCCTTTTTTGGTAATTATTTGGTGTTTATAAGCCTTTCTTACATTTATACTGAGTTCTTTCCCCATACTTGGAAAGTTTTCTGCTATGATTTCTGTAAGGAGATTTTATTATATCTTTATTATTGTCCTCTGTCATGGCTCATGTTGGTGGCCCCCGGGCCTTACGCATTTTCATTGTGCATTTGTGATTGGTTCATTGTCTAGCACTTGGATTGATGGTGTCAGTGCTATACCCATCTAGGGGTGGAGCCAGCATACAAGGTAATGCCAAAAAAAAGATATGCCTCTCTCTCTTGTGGGTTTCCACCTTGCAGTTTGCAGTTGCCATGAACTGCAGCCCTGCCATGCCATCCTGCCTTGGAGCCAACTAGGTATAGACTAAAACCTCCAAAAACTACAAAAAATAAACCATTCTTTTCCCAACTTTGGGCATCAGGTATTTTGTCTCAGCAACAAATAAAAAATAACTTAAGACAAAATTTGGTGCCCGGAGTGGGGTCACTACTGTTACTATACCATGTTTTTTGAGAGGCTTTAAAATTGGCTTGGGGGCAGAGTTTTAAAAGATTCAAACATGTCACCTAGATCCATAGAGCTAAAGCAGCTTAGGCTGTTCTATAAATGAGATTCTGGCCAAAACTCAAGAGACCAAAAGGCGGATAAAAAGCCTCACAGTAAAGATCAGGCTTGGGAGGTTTCTGCTGAAAAAAAAAAAAAGGACTACATTGGCTGTTAGACTCCCCACGATGTGTGTTATGGCTTGGCAAAAAGTTTGTCTACATTTTGCTCATGCCCAGAGACTTTTCTAAAACTGAGACTAAAGACAATAGACTGATTAATCTGGCAAAAAAAATTTCAAGACAGTCAAATGTTAAGGCTGTAACATGGCTATTGTTGGGGGCTCTTGGCCAGCTTTATGTTACAAATCAAGAGCAAAGAGCCCAACAGCATAATTTACAATGCTGTGAGTTTGGCAAAAAAAAAAAAAAAAAAAAAAAAAAAAAAAAACCTCCAGTAAAGCTATAGATTATAAAGACAGAGTTAAAATTGCTAAGAAAGAGAGAGAGAGAGAGAGAGAAATAAAAAAGATGGCCACAGGACATCCAAAAAAAAAAAAAAAAAAACAGTGGGTCTCCACCCTTTGCAGTCTCAAAACTGCAAAAGTAAAAAAAATTGCTCAAAAAAAAAAAAACAAATGCTGCAGAGCATCATGCTCCAAGATGGCAACACAGGCCACAAGAGGTTCCAAAATGGCAGCAACATTAAAAAGCTTTTCTTCACAATCAGGTTTACAGAGCCCAGCAATCCAAATAATCAAAAAAAAAAAAACCCTTGTTACTGCTTCAGCTGACAACAAACCTTGGTGACATCCACCTGGCGCTTTTAGATACAAAAAAAATATACAAGTTCTAAGGGTAAAAGAGCTTCCACCTCAATTGCAAAGGGCCTGGGAGGCCAAGCAGTGTGCCCCTGAGAGGGCAATACATAAAGATATAAAGATAATGCCAAAACACAATAAAAACCCTCAAAATTTAAAAAAGCCAAAAACATAGGTCATCCAAAAAAAGCTATAAAAATTTTTTTTAAAAATTTAAAGCTACAAAAACCAAAATCCCTAAAAGTGCCATAAAGATAAAATCACCCAAGCCTTTTAAAGCTTACAACCAAATTGCTTCAAATGTTAAACAGAAACTTGTTCGCCCTGCTAGATGTTAAACTTGCTTTGTTTCCAACGCTTTATATTCCCTTGTTTATAACTTTTAAAATGGTAATGCTTATCTTGTGAATTTATATTTCAAAAATGTTTAACCTTGTTTCATTTCATTTACACAGGGGGTTACTGTTAAAAGTTTACCATAGATCTTAAAAGAGACTTAAAACTTAAACTTTTCAACAATGCTAAAACTGTTAAGACTTTAACAACTCTTAGAGATAAACTAAGTGTCTTTTATATAATAAATGTGCATAAATTCTGGGGGCCAAAGATAAAATGTCATGGTTTATTTCAGTGGCCCTCAGGCCTCATGCATTTAGATTATACATTTGTGATTGGTTCATTGTCTAGCGCTTAGATTAATAGTGTCAGTGCTACACCCACCTAAGGGTAGTGCCAGCATACATGATAACAAAAAAAGATGTGTCTCTCTCTTGCAGGTTTTCCCCTTGCTGTTTACAGTTGCCATAAACTGCGGCCCGCCAAGTTATCTTGCCTTAGAGCCACCTAAATATAAACTAAAACCTTCAAAAACTATTTTTTTAAAAAAAATCTTTCCTTTCCCAACTTTAGATATCAAATACTTTGTCTCAATGACAAAAAATAACTAAAACATCCCCTAATTTTTCTTTTGCTCTACTTAGTCTCAGATTAGTCATCTAATAGCTACCGTATCAATTTTCTTTGTTCTCTTGTCATTTTTAAGATATCTCTGAGTGTATCCTTTTGTGTTTCCATTCTCATCTTGAAGTCTGACACTCTGTCCTCACCTAGGGCCTTTCTGCTATCTACACAATCAATAGAATTCTTTGTCTTTGAGGCTGGCTTGGCCATCTTTTTATGGAGGCTATTTTTTTGATACACATCAGGCATGTTTTGAATTGTTTCTGTCATCCCTTCTAATTCTTTGATTCTTCTGTAATCACATTGATCAATTTATTTGTTAGTTCCACTACTTGTTTGGTTATGTCCTCTTGACCTCAGCAAATTTCTTTGCTTCCTATGCAACCATTTTGTACATCTCACCTATTTGGTGTTTGATTTGTTCTCCATCAATTTTCCTTGGGTCTGCTTTGCAGACATTTTGTTGCCTTTATGTTTCTTTTTTTGTTCTGAGGGTCAAGGTTAAATAGAATGGAGAGACTATTATTGGTATGAAGATCTCTTTCCTTAAGTTCTGTTTTCCAGTGATGTGATCTTGGCTTCACTTGTCAAGCAATATTGCCTACCACTTTAGTCCATTTAATTAGGTTGCACCCCGTCACTGTGTTGTAGGGAGAGAATTCCCACTTATTATAACAGCACCCACAGATCCCACAATAGGTCAGCCATGAACATTAAAACTTGTTTCAACATGGGCTGGGGATATAGCTCAGGGGCATAAGCACCTTCCTGGCAAGTGCAAGGTCATGAGTTCAATTCCGGGTACCTAAATAAATAAATCAATAAATAAAGCTTGTTTTGATAGTTTCACCCTTTCATCAGATCCCCTAACAGACTATTCTATACTGTTACTGGTGTGGGATATGAAAGAAGTGAAGGAAAGAGGAGTAAGGGAAGGAAGGAGGGGAGGGAGATACGAGAAGTTTTCGTAGGTAAACAAGTAGAAGGTCAGACTTTGTTTAAGGCATTTTAATAGCCACAGTGAAGGGTTATCGTTGAGGGAGTTTAAGAGAGCCTTTGTAAACAGTACCTCCCATCTAAAGCCCTGGCGTACTCTTACTCTCTTTTGTACATGTGTACGCATATGTCACATGCCAGCAGACAGGAGGTGGGGAAGACGAGGAGATGCGCGAGATGAAGGGCAAAGAAAACAGATCAGGGAGGAAAGAAGCTTAAAAAGAAAAAAGCCTGAGAACAAACTAAAGGAAAACTTGAAACATAAAAAAGGTAAAGTTAAACAACACTATGTGTAAAGAAGCAAGAACCAAAGAACAGGCAAAAAAAAAAAAAAAAAAAAAAAAAAAACCGAGAGACGCACAAACAAGAACGCACACGCCCACGCACGGCGGGCGAGTCCCCCGCGCAGCCGCAGTCCGCGCGCCCTTCCGCGCAGCCAGCGCAGCGCAGCGCTCCCCCTGCAGGACGCCAAGCCGGCTGCTCCCGGGCGGTGGGTGCCGGTGCCGTGCCCACCCGCCTGCTTGGCAGTGGTGAGGGAGGCACTGGTCTCTCCGGACCCACCCCTGGTGGGCAGGGCCAGCCGGAGACCTCTCTCTGTCCACATCCGACCACCCCCCTTCGCTGGGAGGAAGAAGACGCGAAAGGCTTGCCCGACACCGTCCTCCGTGGCTCCCACCGCTGACCTCTGCTCGCGCTCCCTCGCTGCGGGGCGCGTCCTCCCGGCCTGACCTCCGTCCCAGAGCCCTAGTCCAGGATGTGGCCGAAGCCCTCTGCCCCAGGCCACGCTGGCTCTTTGCGCGGGGACCTTCAGGGCCCCGCTGGCTGGAGCTCAGCTTTCCGTCCTCGGAGCGGGGCGCCGCCCGGCGGTAGAGGCCCGCCTGCGCCCGTGCGGGCTCTGGCCTTCGCCTGCCTGCTGGCCTCGGTGTTCCTGGTGTCTCTCCTCTTTCTCTAACCCGCGTGCTGTAATCTAAATTCCCCCTTCCTAAATAACCACTGATTACATACAGTAATACTTTCCTTGCTTTCATAAATTAATAATTTGAGATAATTTTCTATCAGTGCACGTTAGTTACACAGAATAATGAATTTCCTTTCAGCCTACTTGTACATGCATGTAACCTACTATGATCATCCACCTTCTGCTACTCTTTCACTGCCCTCCTTCTCTCCCTCCCCCCTTCTCTTGCTCTTCTCTAAGTCTCCTTTCTACTTTTATGGCCTGTTTCTTGCCCCCAGAGGCCGCTTATGTGACAACACATGGGACATTTGTCTCCTGAATTTGGCTTTTTTGCTAGCATTATTATGGCATTTCATTTCTGCAAGTGATATAACTTGATTCTTTATGGCCGAACAATACTGAGTCTTGGATATGTACATTGTATTTTTTTCCCACTGTTATACTAACTTTATCTTGTGTTGTAAAGAAGTCTGCTTGAGCACTGACCTCTTAGAATTTCAGATCAACCAATCACTCACCAAAGAATTTGGCAGCTTTTCTGTCTCCTTTTGAACACAATTATGTGTCCATTCCAATGGGAAACACATCCAGTCAGTTCCTCAAAACACTCTTTGCAAAATTAGTGGGGATTAGCAAATGAATTAGCTCTAGTTTTTCTGAAGCCACTGGTTTCCAATGGCTGCACTAAATTACATTCCCATCAAGAGGACTGCAGGATACTTTTGCCCTGCATTCTTACCAGCTTTTATTGTCTTTTGTGTTCTTGGTGATGATCTAACTAGGGTGAAACAGAATTTTGATGTAGTTTCAATTTTCATTCCATGATGACTAGAGTTGAACATTTCTTATGTTGTTGTTTAGTCATTTGTACTTCTTTTGAGAAGTATCTGTTCAGTTCATTTGCCCATTTACTTGTATTTTTGGTGCTGACTTTTTTTATGTTCTAGATATTAATCCTCTGCCAGAGGAATTCTGAAAAAAATTTTCTTTCATCATTTTCAGTCATTTATATTTCTGCCAGTTATCACTTTAAGGGAGTTTAATTACTTTCCTTACTTTCATAAATTAATATGGGAAAATTTGCCTGTGGTCCCAACACTCAGGAGGCTGAGGCAAGAGGGTCATTACAAATTCGAGACCAAAGTGAGCTCAAGTGTCGGTGTCACTCCCGGCCGGCAGGAAGGACACACAACAAAGTCTGGCAGTGGACAACCTTTTCTTTTATTTTCCTTCTCCGTACAGCCTGCCCCGGGAATCCTCCCGGCTGAAGCCTCTGTTGGTCCGCTCCCCGCGGCTCCTTGCGTGCTTCTCCCTACAGTCTGTCCCGAAGCCTCTACCGGTCCGCTCTCCGCGGCTCCTTGCGTGCTTCTTCTGCTTCTTCTGCTTCTTCTGCTTCTTTTCTTGGCGGGAGAGGCACTCACTTTTATAGGGTTCAGTTGTTGCTAGGCAGACTATCTTACAGGGCGGGTTGTGAAGCAGGAGATCTTACAGGGCGGGTTGTTTACCAAGCAGGAGATAAGCGCCATCTTAGCACACTCGATGGGAGGGGTAATCTAGCTCAGGCTTTGCTCTTTCCTACAGGCCTCACGTCCGCCAAGTAAGGCGACCGGGCTCGGCCGCGGCTCCCAACACTCAAGGCCAGCCTGAATTGCATAGGGAGACTCTGTCTCAAAAGACCCCCATAAACAGGAAAATTTGTTAGGTTATATATTAGAAAAACAGAGACTTGATTTGAGAAGACTTGAATTCAGTCCTACCATTACCGTTTATTAGTGAGACCATGGAAAAGTTACTTCATCCAAAGTAGCCTCCACATAATCATCCTTAGGAGAGGGATTATATACATGACTCACAATTTTTAAAATATTCAATAGTGAAATATGTGTAAATAACTATACACTGTAAAGCATTATATAGATATAAGAAATTAAAATAATATGGTCATATTAATTTAGTAGTTTTATTCACAAAAGTCTGCTTCTTTGTAGCAGTCCATTGTGATATTATGATATAGATTTTCTGGTTGTGTGTACCATTCCTGTTCATTACTCCCCATTATGGCTTGAATCTGACACCCCGATATTCAGGCACTGAAGCCTTGGCGGGCCACTCAATGGGCTTCTTGGGAATTCATTGGATCCTGACAGCTCTCACTTCATTGAGCGGATTAGTTCACTGATAAGTTCATGGTTTGGTAGCATTATTTGGGGGTGGTGGAAGAAAAGGAGGTGAGACCTAGGTGAAGCACATAGGCCATGTGGGTGACTTGGGAACTACGTCCAGTCCCTGACCGGTTCCTCTCTGGTTCTTCCACGCTTTCTCTGCCATAGCAAACATGAAGTCAGGCGCTTTCCTCATCATGTCCTCTGCCAAGCCTTCCTGCCCTTGAACCAGCAGACTAAACCTGTGAGTCAAAAATAAATCCCTCCTCCTTGAAGTTGTTTTTTAGGTATTTTGCCACAGTGATGAGAATCTGACCCACTCCACAGCCTCTGCTATTTCTTAAATACTAGAGTGATATTGGGGCAGGCTGCCCTCAGACAGCAACCTTTCTCAGCGCCCCTCTCCTCTCTTCTGCTCTCCTCTTCGCTCCTTTCTTCTCTTTCTGATTCTGCTTCCTCCTATTCTCCTTCCTCCTCCTCTCTCTCTCCCCTCGTTGCCCTCCCCGTCTCCCGCTCTCTTGCGCTCTCCTGTTGCTTCTCTCCTTTCACATACTCCTTTGTCTTCCCAAGGCAGACTATGAAATATAGAAATTCTCTTCCCCAAGGCAGGATATAGAAACTAAATATGAAGTTCCCCTGCTTTTCCATCTTGCAGCTGACTGTAAAGAATTGTCCAACTGGCCGTAAAGAAACTGTCTGATGATAAGACCTCCATTACTGAAGATGTCCTGCCCCATGCCGGTGAGGCAAAAATGGTGCAGAGACAGCCTGGACAGACCCTGTTAGCTTTCCCACTCAGTCTGTTAGCCAGTGCTTCATTCATGCTTATGCATTAAAGTGCTCATAAAACCCAAAGGACAGAATTACTGAACACAGGGGCCTCCCTGGAAGGTAGTGCTCCCAGAGGGATGGTAAACCCTTTAGAGACCAAGTGTCCAAACTGCAATTCAAAACCCATTTATGTATTTATGTATTACAAAATGCCAGCACTGCAATTAAACCTGATACTTAGTTTTTAGTTCAGAAAGTGTGACTCATAGTATCATTGCATACATGGCTCTGCTTGCTCACCTGGCCTCCATTACAGGGCAAAGGCTTCAAGCTTCTTCCCCATACTCTGTTTACTGCCTGATCTTTATTTTTGTAATATGCTTTAAAATCAGCTGGTATGCACAGATGCACACACACCTTTGGAGGGTGAAGTAATCAGCAAGGCCTGATGGGGGTTTGTTAACAATATAGGAATCCAAACAGCCAAATTGATAAATTTAGAATTTAATTAGAGCTTAGCAACCACCCACGTGAACCCTGTTTCAGAATCCTATGGAGTTGCACTGTTACAGAGTTTTTAAAACAGAAAACCGCAAAAAGACATCCTGTTGGAAACAATTTAGCTAGTATCTTACATTAATATTTGGTTGACACCCGTATCCTGCTTCTTTGTTGAGCAGGTGAATTTTTCTCCTGTGGGTGCAGCTCATTTTGCTTTTCTCATAGGACTTGTACTCTAGGTAATTTTCCACTCTCCTGGATCAAATACAGGGCACTAGTTAAATGCAGGGCTCAAGATGGCATCAGTTATGCCAAGCTACAACAAGGTCAGCAATGTGAAAGTGTCTGAAGCAGAAGCCAAGAGACAGCAATTGGACACTAGAGAACTCACCAACAGGAAACCAGTCTCAGCCCCCACATCCAGAGGCCAAGATCAGCTCCATACCTAGCACATCTCTGGGCTGTAACATGGACATTATCACATAACGATAAACACCAAAAGAAAGTAGGTTCTTAGGATAGCTATAAAGAACCAACTACATCTAGAGGACAGCCCTGAGGAGCAGACATCTCCTTGACTCCTTGAAAGAGGCCCTAATGCAACTGATAGAGCTGTGTATAATGGGAGGTTGGTGGGCATCCACATAGAGGACAAAGAAAAAAGAGAAGGTGAAGAATGGCAAGATGCAGAAGCAGGGTGTAACCCCACACTCCCAGGCCACCCATGACAGGCCTAGAATTCAATAAGGATGCAGTGAGAAGTCAAAACACTGGAACTTTCTGAAATGATAACAGAAGTAAAAAAGAAAAACAGAAAAAGCTATAGGTAAAATGATCTCTCAGGTACAAAACAGAAATGATGTTAAAAACAAAGATAATAGATATGACACAAATAAAAGAATAGATGAGCTTCAAAAAAGATGGAAACAAAAGTGCCCAACGTAGGAGAAAAATGGTATCCATGAAAGCAGATCCAAACAGCAATCCAGGAGATTAAACCTTCCATTGAAAGTATATGCAACAAATTGAATGAAGGAAAGGATAGAATTTCGGAACTTAAAGACAGAATTTCAGCTAGTGATCATCAAAAGAAAGATAGCTCAATAATAGCAAGAGATCATGAAAAATAAATCCAGCGGCTATAAGACAAAGCAAAGAACAACACAAGATTGATTGAGGTCAATCAGAAAGCTGGAGATAGCACAAATGTCATAATAACCATAAATATATATGCACCTAATAGAGTAGCACCCAATATAATGTAAGACATTATTGTAAGACAGTTATTAGTAGATGTGGAGAATCAAATGAGCAATAAACACAGTTGTAACAAGAAACCTCAATACCCAATTGTCACAGAGAGATAGAACTACTAAACAGAAAATCAGCAAAGAAATATCAGAGTTGAACCAAACCTGTGAACAAGTGGAGTTAATAAGAAGAAGTCATGCCCCGAGGCCATGCACCAGCAACCAGAGA